AACCAAATAGATTGATTTTCAATGTATTTAACTATTACCGGCAGACGGGTCGATGTGCCCATATCGATATTTTTTTTTCACTAATTATATTTCCTACTTATAAAACTTGTAAGTAACGATATATGACTCCGAATGGACTTATGTATTGAATGGATGTATGGATGGATATATATAGTCTGCAGTAGACAATCACATTCCACAACGCTAGTGATTCACCGCGGCCTCGCGTGTGTCAAGTGATACGTAGTTAATTGCTTGCTCCTGCGTTAAACGCGTATAACCTTTAGAACGTCTGCTATATAACCAAGATATTTTGATGAAGAATTTTTTTGCTTTTAAATCAAATTTAGAATTTGATTTTGTAAAATATTTTATTTCTGTGCATCCTCTCTTCCGTTGATTAAAGGTAGGCAACGCATATGCAATTGCGTATGTCTATGGGCAACGGTCACTTCGCTATTTCAGCGATTTCAGGTGACCGCTCGCTCGTTTGCCACCTTATGATATAAAAAAAAAGAACCTGACGAGAAATATTCTGGATACCACATATTAATAACTTTTGCATTTGTTCTGATGTATGTTTACTGTAAGTTTTCACTGTATAAAAACATGATGTGAATATCGTTCACTTTAATGAAACAGTTAACAATATCTTTTTGTGCAGTGATTTTTGCAGTGAAAGCCCACTTTTATGGTTCTAGGTGAATACTTTTTTGCCTCAGTACGGAAATAAATATTGTAACAAAATGGCCAACAAATATAATTCAATTTTTCATTTAAATTTCAAATGTAGATTCTAAAATTTACATATCAACCTTCGACTTGTGAGAAGAATAAAAAAACAAGTTTCAGTAAAAAAAAAAATTATTTCCAAAAAGAAATATTACTGGTTTACCGTTATTAAACAACTCTTGTTATTAGTTTGCGAGAGTTTAGTACCGTTATTCTATCGTCTGATAGTCGTGCCTTCGTTTATTATTTAGCGAGGTAGATAGGCTAGGCGGCCATTGCGGGTGGCGGTTGCCCATTCACCCCCACAGTCCCCACAACGGTATAAAATTTAACTTACTCGTAAGCTGTGTATGAATGGTCCTTTATAATTATATTAAATGGTCGCATATTATGATTCCGGCTTACTAAAATTTATTGTTGGTATTTTGTGAGTTCTCATGTATAATTTAATTAATATACCTAATTTATTCTTCCTTCCCTTTTAGTTTTCCTTCCCTTCCCATCCTTATTTTATAAGAACTGGATATGACGGAGAAGCGGTCCACAAAGGTAGACATCACATCTGCAATAGCAGATGCTTATGGGCAGCGATCGCTTCGCTATTTCGGCGAATCCAAGTGCTCGTTTTCCACCTAATAATAAAAAAAATATGAGAAATAAATATTAATAAATATCGTTCAATTGTCACTTACTAATACTTTAAGAGATATTCACAGAATTTTTATTAGAAAGCTAATGTTTTGTTTTACCAATTAGAGGTCTACAGGTTTATATTTTTTAAATTAACTTATTTGGAATACATATAAATGCAAGAAGGTTTTATTATAAAAAATGTACCACATTTAAGCACCTGCCGATATCAATATAGCAGATGAAAGTCACCACATTTTGCCAACCAATGACATGCACCTTTTTGTTTATTTTTATTTGCTCCATTTGTAACACACACCTTAAGTAAAATAAAACAGTTGCAGAAATTTTATTTATATATTGAAAAATATTAAGAGATCCATTTTGCCGATTGTCATCCGTAAAGAGAAGATAATATTTAGTTTAATCAGTTTCAAATAAATTAATAATAACATGACTAATAAATTGTTTTAGGTCTTCAAAAAAAGTACGGTTTCTTTAACTTTATTTTAGATCTGCATTAAAATGCTTGCCAAAAAAAAATAACTGGTTAATTTCCGTATTCGTACGCTTTAAAAGTAAATATATTTTCAGTCTGTTGTCGACAGACTGAAAATATATTTTATGGTTTTTTAATCAATTTTATGGTTGATTTTTAAAAAAGGAATTTGCTATAAATATAGTGAAAGTAAAAATTATAGTTAAAGACTTCTATTTGAACAAAAGGAAACTTCTAAAGTAATTTCCATCATGCAAATAGAAATCTTGGGGGAGAGATAATTGTTAGTTACTATCGTTTACGCACGTGAGGGGACAATTTCAAGAAGCTTTAGAAGTGTGCATTAATGTCTTCATTGTTGGGAAAGAACGGAAATTGGCCATTTTATGAAAGCACATCAATTGTTTCTATTCTTTTGTTGCCGCAGTCTCTGAGTACTGGCATTGTGCAACGTGCAATGTATTCTTTTATCAAAGTGTTTAGAATTACACCAATTCAGTTGAAGATTTAAAATAATCGCTTACTACGTTTACTGCTCATTCTATTCAGACCATTCAAAGATATGTTACTAATATTATAAATAAGATTACTTAGATGGATAGATTGATGTTTGTTAGAAGGTATCTCCAGAACGGCTTAACAGATTTAAATGAAATTTGGCATCGATATAGAACAAAGTCTGAAGGAACACATGGGCTACTTTTTATTTTTTTAATACTGCGTGGACGCAATTGTGGGCATAAGCTTGTCTTTTATATTTTACTATTTGTGCAGTAATGTTTTCCTTTCTAATAGACAATGATATATAATAATAATTATGCAATTTGATGTTGGTGCTAACTGAATGTGATGTAAAATTACTACAACAACTATCCTAAACTTGTACAAACATACAGACACATAAACAAGGTTTATATTCAGTTTATACGGTATTTTTATGGATGATTTGAACATGATCGGCGCAGTGTCGATTACCGAGATCTTATGCAACTAACCAAACGTTACGCAACAGTTATGTAAGCACGTGGCGATGCGTGAGCGGATACCTAGCAAATTACCATCTCCGAGATAGACTGGGTCAAGACACTCGTCTTGCCATACTCAATACGTACATACATTTCCTTTTCCTATGGAACACGGAGTCAAATAATTGGATTGTTTGAGTTATTTTGTCCTAGAGTGAGAGCGAGACAGATAGATATTATAATGAGAAGCTATTAATAATGGGAGACCAAATTGAATCACGTTGAAATGCTTTTGATTACTATTTTGTTAGGGAAAGAGCCTTCGTCCTTAAATATGACCTTTTTAATCAACATGTAGGTAACTAGGTAATGTAAAACGGTTAAATATATATAACTGCAACAAATGACTAACGATGTGAATGATGTAATTCTATGCAGTTGTACCTTACAATTGCACTGTTTTACTTTATTAAAAACTAGCTCTCTCCCGCGATTCCGTCCGCGCGGAATTAAAAAAAAAACTTAGTAGCCTATGTGTTCTTCCAGATTATGTTCTATATGTGTGCCTCATTTCAAGCCGTTTAGCCGTTTAAGAAATACCTTCAAACAAACATCCAGCCATCTATCCATCTATAAACATTCGCATTTATAATATTAGTAAAATACATACTTATAGATTCTTTTAAAACATTTGTGCTTAATAATAATATTCGGATGATATTGAATCTTGTTATGTAAATTTGGTCTTAGTAAATAAAATTGTCGGCCTTGTTTTTATTGAATAATTGTTTTTGTAAGGTCACTGTCAATCTTTGTCTAGAATACATCATAAATTATGAATTTATCAGTGTTCGTAAACTGTTCGGGCTATTAGTGTGTATTTTTTAAGCAGTCACTAATTTAAAAATGTATAATTTCTTAAATGTAATTTTCTAATTTACAAACAAAAACAGCAACAAAAAGCAAGGTCTATGATTCTTATTACCATGATCTCGAGGTAAACCCACTTTCTAGTCACTGATTTTTTGGAACGGAACTTACATGGTAACTGTCAACAACTATTCTTAATTCTGAGAAGCGTATGCATAGACATATGAATATAAGACAAGCTATGTATCTGCATATGTATACATAGAGGTTAAGGTAATCTGCTATCTCTTTTTCACGTTCCATTGTTGCTAACAATAAATAGATGATTTCTACTGTTTAGATTTAATATAAATAGTATTATACTTGTTGGTGAACTAAGCGACAAAAAAATCGCACTAGACTCTCGACTTACAAAGGTTAAAGTAATTAAGGATATTAATAAACGCGTTGACCGGTACACAAGATTCCGAGTAGTTAAACGAGAGTTGAATTGATGACAATGGCCAGTCGCAGGACGCGCCTAACAGCAGCCCGGATTGTAACGCAATTGCGTGGTTGTGGACAAGGTCGAAAAATGCAAACGACCGGCAAACGACCGTATGTTGTTACATCGGAAATTAAAATATTTACTTCTATTGTCGCTCTATTTTACTACGTCGACTGTTTTTTATTTTCGATTTTTATTAAATCGATGTATTGTTATTAAGGGTCGCGAATCGATTTTAAGTTTAAATTGATTAGTATCAAATCAATTTAGCGAATGTTGATATAAGTAACAAACAATTACATTTAAATACTCTTATACGATAGAGTAAACACTATATTTACATTGGTGTTGTTGGCCAATGTTCACACAACCATGACGGACTCACGGACAATACAATTTTGTTCATTTATTTTTACATAGTTACCTCAAACAAAATTTAAATACGACTTGGTTACATTTAAAATGTAATCAATAGAACGGTATTAGTCAAATTCTACATTGTAATTAATTTCTGTACCACAGTCAATACTTATGTTTGACTCTAATAAAATGTTTTGTGTTAAACTATCCATTAACCTATAAATCGCACGACAGGCTTTCATTAAAGTGTCGCGCTGTGTCGCTTAACAACCAGATTGTTGACAAAGCTTCGCTTACTCAATACTTGATTGATATATCACGATCGTTCCCAATACAACTTCATTCGCTACAGCTCCCTTGCCTTTAATTGGCTTCGCGCAAACAGCAACTATGTTGATGATATCGTAACTATCTTAATAAGCTCGCAATAAACGTCCCTTGTTTCGTTCTTTTTCAGACGAAAATGTAGATAGGTGAAAAGTAGGGCGCGTCTACTTTTAATAAAAAGTACGATGTCTATTGACCAGGCGTCGCCACTGGTGCCGATCAAGCCTCAAGTCGCTCTGCAGAACAGCTCGTTTATAAAGAACAGCCACAACAGAAGCAGTTTCTGTGGCGTGAGTCCTTCGCCGAACGGCAATGGAACGTTGAAGACATTCGCAGTGAACCGCAAGAGTTGGAGCGGGAATGTAACGATACCGCTACAACAGTTCACTCCAGACATCGAAAGTAAGCCACAATTCGCGACTTTCCGTTCCGGGACCGGGACATTCCCTCGGAACAGAGAGCGGAACAACAACGGCGCGTCTGTTGGTATATTAACCCCGAACGGAAACTCGACCCATACGTTAAGAGGAAGCGAAGTGAGGAGGAGCGGATGCTTAAACGGCCGTCGCTATGCCGAAATCGGAAACTGGAGTAAAAGGTGAGTTCCTTATAAGAAACGTGTAGGGAATTTTTAAATTATATCTAAAATATTTATTACTTTCCTGCGTACCATGTAATAATCAGAAAGTAATTACACAACCAGACTTTATAAAATTATATGAGCCTTTGAAAATATTCTTTTGGACTTTGTTCGCGAATTTACCAAACTTTATCTACTAAAACTTACTTTATCAAAAGCCTAAAAACATTCTGATCAGATGCGTGCGAAATTATTTTTCTCCATGATTAACAATGCTGACAAAAATATCTGGATTCCCCAGGTAAATAAAAGTTGCTACGAGGATCACGTTCAGCTAACTTTCGGTAGGATTTATTTATTTTCTTTTTTCATCTCGAGTAATTTTGTAACAAGTTTTCCAATTTCATTCTCTTGTCGCTTTCATTTCCTCCCGTTCGTCGGGCCTCGTTCCCTTAATATTACTTTTATTAGCTGAAACCGTTTAACAAACATTGCTTTCTCAATCTAATAAAGATTAAATTTTATTCAATGAGACGTAAACTTTACATTGCTTCAAAATATTATTTAAATTTGGTTTTACAATATTATATCAACCTGAATTAACATTTGATTCTAATATTAATCTTTATGTACAATACCGTAGTAGTCTTATTTCCTAATTAAATATTTAGTATGTAATATATTATTGGAGTAATTTAACTAACGACTCAGAAGTTTCTGAACTCATCAGCTGCAACAGCCTTCCTAATATTTACCACATTTTCCTAATCGTTCTCTTCATTATCTTTATACGCAATGAGTGGAAAGTTTATCCATTATTCTTGTTCACTCAATTTGGGGCGGACTAAGTTACTAGATAAGCCGTAGTCCAATAATATGACTCTTAGTACTACGGCTTTTTATTAGGGGTTGACTTTATCGCGTCTTGACTCGTCTTGTGCGTTATCGCCCTCCTTTAGTGGTCTCCCCGTCATTTCATCGCTAACGTTTATTGTATCGCTCCAATTAATACGTAACTATGGCTTGTACTTTCTTTATATCTAATCCTATTTAACTATTGAGTGATTTTATTTATTATATATCAAGTTTATTCTTAGTTTTGTGTCTATAACGGTTTTCAATTTTACCTTAAATCCTTGGATTGTGAATAATGTCAAGGCAAGCGATACTTAAACTAAAATATTAATTTAAAATCGCTTTAGTGAGGGTTGTTTTTGCAGTTACCACTGAAGAATTAGATTAAGTTTAAAGGACACAACACAGACTTAGTCTTTCAGGGGACAGAAAGAACGATAATATAAAAAGTGTTTGATCATGGTTATAGTTTGGGGACACTAAGGTATAGAGGCAATCAGAGAGATAAGCTCCCCAATGCCTATATCAGTCTGTGAGCTCGTAACATCAGGGCTATTGCCAGTTTGTGCTCGGCCATGGCCAAAACTTTTTACGACAATTGTAAACAGTCCCATGTCAACACATTCATGGGTAGGTTCGGAAGGAAATCATAAAATCTGATTGTAAAAAACCCTCGCAGATATTTTGTATGAAATTTTGTCTCTATTATATTTCGGATATCCTTTCTTTGTTGATACCAGAAATTAGGTTGAAATGGTAAGTTTGCGAATAACATTTAATTTATTTGAGTTGGTAAATTTTCGAAATATCATTGAAATCTGAAAAAGAGTGCATTGTAATTGACGCAAAAAGATTTCAATTAAGAAACTATAAAAGGAATACGCTATTCTTTTTAAAGAGAAACAAGAATGAACAGTACTAAATAGTGTAGTAGCTGGTATTCGTTGGTATGATAATTATCTAGATAAAGTTTACCGCTCGCCGTAACAATGGCTGCCAGTTCCCGCTCTGAATGCCCCTAACTACTGATTAGGACTATTAATTTTATAGCGGACGTTTCGACAAATTGCCTTTTTATTGAATTTAGCTTGAGCTTTCAAGTTATCTGTGTTTAACAGTTGTAGAAAGCAAACGAAAAATCGGTTCACATCGTAGCCACCACAATTAAAAATTACATAAGTATTTTAGATTTATAGATAGACAGCTGTTCTGATCGTCTGATCTCTCTATTTGTAGAAAAAGAAAAGACAGACAAGATATAAGGAAGAACGATTGAAAAAGAGGAAGATATTACAATCGGTCGAAACAAAGAAATAAAAGCAACACTACATTTAACCCGTGCAAACATGTACAACTTCCTACTTCGTATCATACTTTTTCATTGAATACATTATAGCTCTATCAGTATTAAATGAAACAGTTATATATCAGGTCTTGTCATGAAAGGTTTTTACAGTCACAATTCATAGAAACACATCCGCAGATGTTTAGACATAGTTGGTCTTTGTATTTGATGAAACAATAAAACAATTGAGCAACGAAAAAAGTCCCACGCGTTGAAAAGACATTGGAGAATAATATTGAAAATATACAAGCAAGGGGATGTTAATCTTCTAGTACATATACATATTTAAGTAATGATGAAAAAGATACGATAAGACTACGAAAACTTAACATATTATAGCAACGAGACACTAAGTAAACTTTACTATCATAATAGCTTGTTGGTCATTTGAATAACACACAAGTTAGGTTATTTTCAACCTTCTACCAAGGGTTTTAACTCTTTACCCTATCTGGTTGATATTTTTGTGACCAAAATAAAATCCACAACATACGGATTTTCGAAAAACATTTCAGGCAACTCTATTCCAAATAAATGAGCCCCACAAGCTACATATCTTCGTGTAATATCGGTAAAAGCATTGCAAGAAAAACAAAATATAAATCGGCTGCAAAATATTGTAGGCATTTTGCAACAGAAAGGAGGGAATCATCCCGGCACAAATCCCGACAATGGCAGGATGATATTTGCCGGACGCCATATTTAAACAGACGGTCAAGAATGAAAGGTTGACGGAAAAATAATTTTCTTCGTCGAGAAGGGACACCTTACTATTGTCAAAGGATTTGAAAGGTTCCTTTCAAAGCTTCCGACGCTATTAACTTCTTTTTTCCCCATGAATGCTTTATTAAAATATTATTTTTACTTGGATTTATCTAGTGTTTATGTGTGATATATCTATAGTCCAGATTTTCAAAACTTTGGTACATTTTCGAATTGTAAATTTGTTTTTGTAACAACAATTCTTTAGGAGAGGAGGGATCAGTAAGACAGGTGTAGGCGCTTAGCAAATGTATACTTTGTCTATATACAAAGTCTATAGTTTCAACATGTAGAGTCAACTAAGAAGAGTACTTGGGTGCTATTGCGACATGCTTTGGTTACGGATATAGTGAGATCTCCTTGAGTAACCTGAGTCAAAGCTTCCGAGATGATCCTTGACTTGGTCTTTAGTATGAGTTTGTTACGGATTTGTGTTGATTGTCATTATCAAATTTTACTGAAGAATATCCAAAAGAAAGCTAATTTCATTAGTAACATTTTCAAAATTAATGAACGTAGAAATTAGTAAACTGGAATAATTTATATTCATGCATAATAAATTGGTTCAATCAATAACGGACTGAGAACTTACATAATTTCGTGTGTTCGGTCTAATGGGAGTTGTTGCTACAACACATGTACACTTGAGTTATTACATTGTATGAAATAAGTTTGTTGGGATATTTTGGTTTAAGTTTATACAATTACGTGTAGAAAATCTATCTAAATAAATCCATTATGAACTTGAATGAAAATATAACATGCTAGTATAATAATCGTATTATTAAGATACTTTTTTTCTTGTAACATTAGAGCCTGTTTACACCCTTCGCCTGTTTGTATATTTTGCTTTGCATAACAAATATTGTAACAAGTAAGAAGGGAAGAAAAAACGTGACACGCTTTTAGAATTGAAAAGAGCCCTCTTAGAGGCTTATGGTATCAATTTACGAACAGGACCGGCTCTTTGTCGATGCAAAAGTACCAGTAGGCACCTGTCGGTAATGTTTGCGGAGTAAATAATGTTGCAAATAACAAAAATTCCGAGTATATCCTCCCTTATATTGAATATCCGAATATCGGAATATCCGTTGCGCGAGGCTCCGGACTCATTGCGTATTCGGGACGCGTGGTGGGGCATAAATATCCCTGTCGCTCTCATTACAATAACTTGGTCTCGCTGCGGACGTCCCCGAAGGTTGCAGCGGACGCCGCCTCCCATGGGACGTCACTCATTCCGATAATGGAATTCTAGACAGATTTCCGCGATAATTATTATCCTTGCGGTTTCTTCCGCCTTCAATATTATTCCCACTCACGCACTCTGGTGCACTAAGTCTAGTATAAAATGTCTGCATAATAATGTTGTATCTTTTGTAATTTTTATCAAATAAGCTTTATTATAAAATCGTTATTTTAGGAGTGTTTTAAAGCGAGAAGATCTTTAACAACATTCATTCGTTAATTATATGTAATAGAGTCATTAAAACCATAGATTATTCGGACCAGCATTTAGACCTTAAAAGATTTTTTCAATATTTTATTGTAAAACATAGTTTGTAAGTTGCTAAGGTAAACCAAATTATATTGATTATCATTGATTCAGAATTGTTTGGCTCTAAATTCTGTCAATAAGTTGTAAAGTAGGCACAGCTGAGTTAGGCACGGTCTGGCGAACACGGGCGCTTGGCAGTCTGGCCGCGCGCCGTGTGTTCCGGCCCTAACGTCCACTCGGAACTGTCCGTGCGTGCACACCCGTTTGTTATGCTAATTGCACCAACTGATTTGCACAATAAAACCCGCCGTACAGCTCTCTACTAACGAGCGCACCACGCTTGTCCGAAGCGATGACGCCCGCTAATTTTGTTGCCGCTGAAACGAATTAGACCCTAATTAAGATGCCTTCAGCTAATTGTGCGGGTGATACGCACGTTCACACGCCCGTCATATGTTTTGACTCTTGCAATAATTTATATTTTGTCGTCACAGATTTTGGGATAGGCCTTTCAGTGGGCGTCATATGGCTGAAAAAGATGAAAAAGAAGTTGGAATGAAA